ACCCATTCGTGCTGCAACCGTAATAAAACTGCAGTGTGGCTCTACCAGTATGAAACGTAGTTGCTTGAAGTTTTATTAAAGGTTATTGTTACGACGAACATTTACACAGTTAAGAGATTTGCTCTCCGATGCCAGATTGAATGATCAGATGCTGATGCAATGATTATCCATCCATTGCGGATTTCTTTTTTTGCCATAGTTGCCACTCTTGGCAGACAGGTTGGGAACCGAAGCTTTTCATATTTTTGAGGTATTATTAGGAAGATACTACTGCCTACCTCCAGTTTAAAACGGGGTAGTGGATATTCTAACACCGTCTCTAGCTCTACCCGGTCCGGTAGCTGTTACGCATCAAAATATATTGGGTTCGATTTTCAAAAACAAAACAAAAAATGTAAAGATTAAAATTTGTATATTTGGTACTTCGTATATTTTTTCATTTACAATTTGAGTCAATAAGAATTAGTAGTAATCGTATAATCTTAGATGATTATAGTATTAATAATTCACGAAGAACAATGTAAACTTAACGCACTTTTAATTATTTTTTTAAATCAAAATATTTAACAAATTCTAGATTACAATATAAGTATATAGTATAAATATTATTTATTACTTTCAGATTTAGAACAATAATTATTGAAAGTATCTAATTTATTACACAGAGTAGCTACTTATAGACGAGTCACTATTAAAACAATGTTAATTTAAAATTTCGAAACATTCTAAATAGTTATTTATTTTAATACTAAACAAGAAAATGTAATGGCGTTAGAGTTATTTATAAATTGTCTCTATATCTGTACAAAACCTGTATTTTAATGGAAAACTTTTAATATAAGTACCTAAAGAATAGTATTATCGGGTTAATTATTTAAAATTATTGCATTCAATGACAGTTATATTAAAAACTTGAGAACATGTTCCGACAAGTACACTTTGTTGAAACCGATTCTCCTTATTTTTTTAAAATTTAATTTCCTTTTTGTAAAAGATAGTTACGAATAGAACCTAAACAGTTAGCAAGGGCTCATGGCATAACTGTTAATGCTCTATTGTTTTAGAATTGTTACACCGCTTTAATCTTAACCAAAAAGATGGTACAACTTTTTTCATACTATCCACATTTACTAAAACTAAAATTCATACATATCGTGCAAATAAAATTATTTTAGTGTTACCTTCTAGAAAAGAATATAATTTGCTATATATTACATTAAATCACACACCCATTGGAAGACAATATGAAATATTTTTAGAAGAAACAATAAAGAAGAAACCTAATTTTTGTTCCAACTATTGCTTGTTACTTCAGTACTTATTTAACATTATTCTAGAAATCTCTAAGCTTACAGCTAGAACGGCAATGGTGTTGCAAGTTTATTAGGTTACTTAAAAATTATGCTCATCTTAAGTACATTAGATTAATTTACTTCAAAAAATCTAATTAACACCGATTTAGAATAAAATTGTCGTTGTAGTCAATATTTTTTTTATAAATATTAAGTCTACGATATTTACAAAATTTCTCCACTCAGAATGAGATATAAGCTACAATCAGTCGTAGATAAATGTTGATATATTTTTTAAAAGAGTTAATGACTAATCATAAGTTATATATTTTTTTTTAAATTTACAATCTAATCGAAAGTACAGACAAAGCACAATGAAAAAAAATCTGGCAACTTATTAATTTTTTCCTCAGGAACTTTGCTAATTAACAATATATATTTAGCGTATACAATTTCGAGATAAATATGTGGGATATACATATTATATTATATTTTCATAAGATTAAAATATTTACTTTTATGTTTGGTGTTCTCTTTTTTATGATTATTATCAATTATTTACATATTACACTATGTAAATTATACATTATTTACAGACTGAATTTTGACATTTACGCGTTCAGCGCTGTTTAGAAACAAATTAAACAAATTGGTTGACAAGAAAATCTTCTTAAACTACCATTGTAATTATTTTATTAATAATAAAAGCGTTATTAATTATTAGTTAAAAAAATGTCTTTTAAATGTGCATATAAGTGTCGTTTCAGGTTCATAGGCACAGAGACACAGTCATTAATTCCCATATATTACAATCTATAGTGGAATGAATATTCTTAATATTTGTTTGGTAAAATATCTCATAGTTCTATTTTATGTTTTATAATAATAAAGTGAGTTAGATTTTACTTTTTATTACTGTCCTTTGAATGTCACTGGCCTTTAATACAACAACTCTGTTACAGTTTAGAAAATAAGGAATATTGTGTCACATTGTAATATAATAAAATAATACAATAAATTATTTCACATCTGATACATATAAAGCGTCTAATATTGTATTTTTTACAACTTATATATAAAACAATATTTGTTTGTTCGTATTTTATGCGCTGTCATACTGTTCATCAGATCGCGGTAAGACTTTGTCACATTAGGCATTGGACCCGGTAGGTGGCGCTAATGTAGAATCCAGATATCACCCGTGCGAAGCCGGGGCAAATCTTTAGTGTATAAAAAGAATTAATAGTGACAATAGAGCTAACAGTCTACCTGATAGTAGTACTACGGAAACCCTAGGGAACCTGCGACTAACTTAAGTTTTTTTAGTCAAGCATAAAGATGTAATTGAGCCTCATATACATACAGCCTCAAGCAATAGTCGCCTTCAATGTATTTTTTTTAATTTAGTATTTGGACCCCTAAACTATTTTGAGTGGCAACCCTAGTAACATCCGCTGAGAAACAGACGTACGACCTTAGATCACAGTGTTCCAGAATATGCTGGACAATCCCTAGTTAGATTTTGAAGGAATAGACAAACATGACGTTTATTTAAGACCAAAATATCAAGAAATATTCAGTCCACTCAACCACACCCAATCTTTACAATGGTAGCTTCATTTATCCACATTTGTAATGAAATATGATATTTAAATAATAAATGGGAACTTTAACATAGTGAATAAAAGTACGGAAACTTCATAAAACGTCTCGCAACATACTCACACAAGCGCAGGTTTCACATACGCTACAACAAGTAGCGTACACAAATATAGCGCGATGTCCAAGTCGTAAGTACTAAATATTGCGTTATTTTATGTGTGTGCTACTGTAGGTGAAGCGATACGTCTGTGTGCGTTAGGAGACGTTTGTATGAATCTTACTCTAATTTACTCTTGCTTAGAAAATTAAAACAAAAAAAAAATTAAAATCTATTGTAAGTTGTTTATAAATCGAATTCTATTTAAATATAACAACTAGTAACAAAGAATTATACGAACATAAATGATTTTGTACATATTATAAGCGTATGCATTGTTATGCGAAGGGGTTTTAGGAAAGTCCCTTGCAAAATATTTTATTATTGGGAGTGCGAGTAGAACATTTGACTAGTTTATATATTTATTATGCTTTTATCTTCAAGCTATAAAATTCCTTTATGCTTTCATATAATTATATCTAATAGGGAAAGCTAAATTAGTATATCTACGAACGTTTCAAATCCATCAGTGATTTTGCAGTATAATGTTTTATTTATACAACTTCTATATTTGCTAAGATTATTTTGATGAAACTACTAAAATTATTTTACAATTCCTTCATTGAAGCTGTGCGTAAATTTTCATTGAATGATCATTAAATGTCGCTCTATTTTATACAAGAAAACAAACTGGCATTTTTAACTTATATTTAAATTCGGTAACAAAATTAAACAAAAACTGACAAAATCCAGCTATTAAAAATGTTAGGTATAAAGATGATATATAAGAAATGGCCTTTACTTTCATAAGTTTTTGTTAAATTTTTAAGTCATTTAAAGATTAACATGAATATATATTTCAATTATAATGTTATACGTCTAAAACTTATTTATTATTAAGTATTCACTTGAGTAAAGCGATAATTTTATCAGAAAATAAATACAACAAAATTTACAGAGTATTAACTTTTAGTTCGGACTCAAAGACGTCTATGTATCCTACTGTTCTGGAAATTTAGAAAAAAAAAACTGTGTTACAGGTGTGAAACGCACGGGCGTCGACAGGGCTGTAGCTGGCGCAGCAAACATCCCACGCAGTTGTATTTTTATTAATGACTCCTACTGTTTTTAGAAAAATACAAAACATTGGGTCATACTTATCCGAAATAAACTTCAAATTATGTTGGTAAAGTACCGAACGCGTTTTCTTCGTCACATTAAAAGAAAACAGGGGTTGTACTTATGAGGTTTGTATCTATGTTTGTATTTTGTATTGTTTGTATATACTATATCTATACATTTATTACTATATATAAAATGCCTATGAATAAAAAGCTGATTTACTTAAACAAAAGTATGTTTTAATTTATTTTACAAAAAGAGGAAATAAAACAGAAAAAAATTATTACAAGTCAACAAAGTCTCAAACAAAGGTGATTGTGGAGCGCGGCGGTGGGCATCCACGTCTCAGCCCGATCTTCCCGACTTAGCAAGTGTTGTTGTGTACGTGCTGTAGCTCGTGCGTATCCCCCGGTCTTTTTTTAGAGATCTCTAGTGATTTAACCTAGGTGATTTGTGTCCCCTCGGAGGTGCCCATATTTTCAAAATCGTGCGTACGAGTCAGTACTTTAACGTGCCAGGCACGCACACCCGTTAGCGACGTTCGGTACGCTTCTTAGTAGATAGCCTACTATTCTGTTTTTACTATAATACTCGCGGTTCACAAAAAAAAAAAGAAATAGTCTTCTCTCCCGTTCGCAGTCGACTAAAAGAGTTATAAAGAATTGACTGTAACTTAGTGCGCCATGTATTTAAACCGCAGAATATCGAAGTCCCTAGTATACATAGAAGTCTTTGTTCGGAGCGTTAAACAAACGTGACACAATGGTATAGTACAAACTGTATGAGATAAATGATTAACGGACATTGTAAAGACCCGGTGCTGCGCGCTGCTGAGCCAGCATTATGCGATTCGCGACGCATCTGTAGCAGCACAGGTAAGCTAAACATCACTTGAACAGTATCCTCCTGAACGCCCTTCGGAAATCCTTATTGAATATCGTGTATATAACTGGATTTAACACTGAGTTCATGTAGCCCAGCCAAAACGCGATTGCGAAAGCGCTTGATGGTATTACGCACCACCTACAAGCTGCTTTCAGAATATAAAGGAAGAAAAACGGCAGCCAGCAAGCGATGAAGCTACCCATTATCAAACCTAGAATCAATGTCGCTCTCTTTTCCTTTTTTCTAGCTAATCTTCGCTTTTCCCTTTCAGGGTCTCTCGGTTTATGCTGTTTAGGCAACGCGGGCTCCAATTCCGATTTTGTTGGATGCGACTTCTCCTGTCTTCTAGTAGTGTCTGTCCTTTTACCGAAGATTGGTTGGCATATTCTTAGCTTTAAGGGCTTGACAACGGCACAACGGGTGGCTACACCCGAGTCTGACGATGAAGGCTCTAATTCAGAGACCATGTCTGTGTCTATCGCTACGCTGGATGCTCTGCAGCGCTGCGCCTGCAGTTGTAGTTCCCCGTTGACAGATAACGTGGAGCTTCTGTAAGGACATGCTGCTAGTGGATTCCTCGTCACTTGCGCACACGTGACCACCTGCGAAAAGAAATTTGCAGAAACCCATAAGAAAATTTTTATACTGATAAAGAGGCATTCCATCTTAGTTCTCAGGGGTGACAATGCATTCTACGTTTTGCCCTTCAATCAAGGACAGATATAGGTGTCTATGAACTACGATATTCACTTACCACCGGGTTTTGTGTGCTCACAGACTTTTACTACTATATTAAAATATTACGCGAGATGCTTAACTATCAAAGGACTTAAGTAATTTGCTTTAAGAGGTGTTTGATTGCGACAAAACTTATATATTATTAGGTTTAATTGCTGCGTGCCCATGGTGTTACATTATTGAGAGAGAAAAATTCGAGGTAATATAAACATCTTTCAATTTCCAATAGATTGCGTTACAACCCCATTTAGGAGCGTCCATTAATTACGTGAGGAATTTATGGTGGGAGTGGGTCGAGCTGAATCTCACCCAATCTCAAGTGGGGGGGGGGGGAGATCTCGGCAAGTATCATGTAATTTTTTCCGCCATGTGTTTCTTGGGTTAAATTAAGTAACGTTTTATCCCGTTTAAATCCCACACAATAGTATTTATTGCGGTTATAGGAACTTCATAAAACATGTATAACGTTTTTTAAAACTCTTTTACGTTTTTACACTAAAACACGCATTTCGAAAAATTTCACATTCATTTGGAGGAGGGGGGGGAGGGAGGTCGAGCCATATCTCACGAAATCTCGCCAGGGGGAGGGGAAGGGTAGAGAAATCGGCAAAATCGACTCACGTAATTCATGGTCGCCAACTTTACGCCAAATGTAAAAACCCAGATTGGCGACGGGTAGAAGCTTCAATGGTGCAAGACGTCGAAAATTACCATCGCGATCTCCAATCACGCAAATCCATTAATTAGACGAGATAATTATGACATATCCTTCGTAAAAGAGATGAGACTCAGGTTAGTGGCCTTTAATTAACTTTAGGCGGTCAGAAGCATTAAACAGTCTTCTACTGAGTGTGGCTCATTCATATAGTAAGGATCATCATCATCGTTATACGTGGTACGTATTATACGTGGTAGAGCCACGCTGCAGTTATATTATGGTTGTAGCACAAATGGGTCGACTCGACTCGAGAAAGACCACGCTCTCACAGAAAACCACCGGCGTCAAATAGCAGCATAATACTGCTGTGTTCTATATGGTTTTTATATATATATATATATATATATATATATATATATATATATATATATATATATATATATATATATATATATATATATATATATATATATATATATATATAGAGATCCGGAGAACCTTATTCACTGGAAATGAGATATTTCATCTTAGTAATCAGGGGTGACAACGCATCTGCGTGTTGAGTCATAATCAGGGATAAATATAGATGTCTATGGGCCATAGCATACATTCACCATTAGGTAGATTGTATGCTCAATTTTCACTCTTATTCTATAAAAAAATTGTTTGCGCCTATCAAAAGTCCGTATCAAATGTGCTCCACCACCACTGCCTGTCTTACCTATGGGGAGATATAAAGCTTAAAAGCTGATTAGCTTATAGGGAGAAATATGCCCTATTTGCCACGTTTATCATGGCAACTATTGGCAACCGTAGTCTTGTGTTATTTTAAGATGTTATCAGTTAAATGCATTCCACCTCCTGTCTCAGTTCCTTCAGTCGCCTCTTACGACACCCTTGAGGTGATATGGAGTAGTGGGTACTATTACGTCTCCGGTACGTTAGCCTCTCCTGTAATTAGTAGAATATTTCATAATCGCCTCGTTTGTTAAACGGACTGGTGAGAGCAGAACAAGATTTCTCATATCTTTAACACTGCTTCACCTCGAAAATCTGTTAATTTCACATTTGTTACAGGAAATGATTATACCTTACATATTTTTGATTCCTTTTATAGGATGAAGGTGACAAACGAGCATACATTCCACCTGATGGTATGTGGATGCTGTGGTTCATAGACAATCTACAATTATCCTCTATTAACATTGAAAATATAGATGTGGTGTTAGCCCTGAGAACTAAGATGGAATGCCTCGTTTCCAGTAAAAAGTGTCTCCGGTATTCTACACTCACCATACGAAACACAGCAGTATTAATCTGCTATTAGATCGTGGTGCCACCCCAGTCGAGCCGACCTATTCGTGCTACAACCATAATATAGCTCTACGACTTTGAAAACCTACATTGACGAAGTAACCTTTAGTTTTTGAAATACAATTAGTACAGAATATTTTAGTAAAATGAGTACACAGTCCACATCGATAGTAAAAGAATCTATGACCTATAGACACCTATATCTATCATCAATTAAGAATTGGATAGAATGCTTCGTTAAAGTACGGAAGAAAGAAAGAAACTGCATATGCATGTCAGAAATAGGCGTACGTATGTAATTGTTGTTAAACAATATTAACAGAGAGTTAACATTCAAAACACAAATATAAAACTGGAAATCTAACTGATCTAAATAAAAGTTCTGGTCGTTGACGCTGGTATTCTATGAGAGCGTGGTCCTTCCCCGGTCGATCCAATCCATTCTTGCTACAACCATAATATAGCTGCATGTAATGTTACAGCGTGATGTGTTATTTAAATGTCTTATTTCTAAGAGGGTTGTGAAAGATTGAGACTGTGCTGCTCGAATTAAAGTTGGCAAGTACGTCACATATTCTGGAAATATTATCTCTGTGAGAAGCAGGTTTGCTCGTGATATTTTCTATGCAATTAAGAATAATTGACATTGCATATTTATTATAATAAAATTCTAAATTGAGGACATTTTTTTATAGAATTAGGGTGACAAACCGCACGCAGTCCACCAGATAGTAAGTGCATGCTGTGGCCCATAGACATCTACATTTAACCTCGATTGCGAATTAAAATGCGGACGCGTTGTCATCCCTGAGGACTAAGTTGGAATGCCTCGATTCCAGTAAAACGGGTCTCTGGTTATATACACTCTCCATACGAAACACAGCAGTGTTAAGCTGCTATTTTACGCTGGTATTCTGTTAGAGCATGGTCCTTCCCCGGTCGAGCCGACCCTTTCGTGCTACAACCATAATAGTATAGTAGTTACAGCGTGGCTCTACCTCGTATATGACGTCATTAGATCATTTGCATACATTCTTATCTTTTGCTTGTGAATTCCAGAATTCTAAAATTTATCTTTTACTTAGTTATTTTTAAGGTAGTTATTTTAAAGTTGTTACAAACCTTAAGAGTATCTTTTCTTTCATCAGCTGGCGGTGGACCGGGGTCGCCCGCTTCGCTTGTAGAAATATCGGATGCGAAGTCGCACGTAACCGTCGGAATTGGAACTTGCTGAGTTTCTATTGTTGATATCTGACCCTCCCTATAAAGAAGAAGATTTTTATTACATTTAAAGTTTAAAGCGTAGCTAGAAGTTTACAGTTTATATTAGCAGATAGTTTATTAAACCTTTTTACTAAATTATTTTCCCTTTTACAAAATAAGTTCGACCTCATCCTGTGTTTGTTAAACTTATTTGTATATAGCTATCGCATAGCCTAAAATACAATATTTTTTTTTAACTTTTGCCACTGTCACGTTTCTTCTTTGTAAAACTAAAGTAGCAAACAAACTTACAGTTCACCTGATGGTGAGAGACTGCAGTCCACGGACACCTGGAGTCAACCTCAAACAAAGTAAGCCTTTTATTTTGTATTGTTATCTCTGAGTACTAAAATAGAATGCCTTATAGCCACGGACGAGTAAAAAAAGTAAAGACTCCGCGTCACCTACATAAAAAATGAAGCACCCCAAAACAAACCAGCTACGTGTAAATACGAACCTACACGCACACACTCACACATAGATAAGCCGATCGGCCGCCATTACGTTTGTGTGTCAAAAATTGAAATAATGTCGTCGTGTGTCGTTAAATGGTGCAAAAATAATACCACATTACAAAAAAAGTGCCAAGGAATTACCTTTCACTGGTAAGCCAGTTCTTATTACATTATTTATTACGCACACATATACAGCATAAATATTGCTTTACTTGCTAGTATCGCCGTGCGGAGTCCTTCTTTTTTTACTCGTCCGTGCTTACAGCCGGTAAATATTTTGGCTCTCTATTTCCGTTCAGACTAGACCTACTAGACCTACCCTTCAGAACGCAACATTTATAAGACGGACTCCCAGGCAGTCAAGTAGTTTTATGACCTTGATTAAGACTACTTTTATTGATTTTATCGCGTAAATTTATTTGATTTTCAATTCCCGACGTTTCGGGTGCTTTCCGTCACCCATGGTCATGGGGGACTGAGGTCAGTCTGATGTCAGTGTAAGCTCGGAGTACCTTCAGTTTTTTAAGCTATTGCATAGCTTCTATCGTGGGCCTTGAGCGCGGGGACCGAATCCAGAAATTCCGTAACGAAAAAAAACCTCACGCTCCCCCACCCCGACGGGCACGGAGGTGTGGCGTTGAAAGCCGTGCATCGTCTAACGTCGTTTTAGTTCGGCAGACTTCGGCACTCGGCAGACTTCGGCACGGTGTTTGTGTGCGTGTACACTAGCTGCTAACTCAATGATAAAAATTCCTGAATAACCTACATGTATTGTAAGATATTAAAAATATTTTAAACAATATTAACTTCTCATTTATTCAATAAGAGAAAAAAAATTGTTTTCTTATCGGTCACCACGCTCAAAAAGTGTAACTTGATTTAATATCAAAGACTTAACTGCATAAATAAAATAAATAAATAATTATAATTGCATAAGTTGATAAAAAATGCTATGCAATAGCTTTACCGCGGCAGTCACCGAGTGCCACACGTATTTTAATAATTATTTATGGTCCGATCGACGCAGAATGAATTTACTGTGTCTTGAAGTCTTGCAGTGGTATGCTTGGGTTTAGTTTTAATTTTATTAATTACAGGGTTCCAAGCAGGTGGTAGTACCCAGCCTCCTTGTCTATTGAAATTTGGATGTTTTTTAATGTCAATAGCTTCACGTATCATCCTTGGTAGGAATCGATGTTCCTTCGCGAGGATTTCTATGACCGAGTAAACATCATATTATTCATTCGTCACTCCATTTTATGGCTTCCAAATTCAAAAAACTTCATGGCCTCCGGTCAGATGGCGCTATAACCATCTCACTTATGCTTGACTAATTTAACCAGACCAGCAACAAGGAGCAGCGTAGAAGTAACTGGGCATCTCGTACTGCTATCGTCAATCTGCCTGCCAGGCGTGGTAACTGTGTCAAAATGGGAGTTGTCCATACCCGGTAGTGGATATTGCGGACTGATGAATAAGAGGAATATATTTGTTACGGAATCTATAAAACTTTAAATGATTTAGATTTCTATCTGATGGTAAGTGGCTACTGTCTAGTTGGTCTAGTGGTCGTAGTATATATAGTATAGTAGTAGGTCGTATTTTCAAGTCTCGATATATCGATATTCGATATTTATTTTGGAGTATGGAATTCATAGTATCAATTTCGATATATTTTAAAATGTTTTAATCGACCGAACATTAAGCAACAAAAGTAGCCTACACACGTAATGTGCTACTGTCGTGTTTTTCGTCGTCCAACCGTCCAGTAATACAATTTTGTGCCTTGTCCACAAATGCAAACCACAATCATGCAACCACATCATGCAAAACATGACGATATATCAATATTTATCACGCGATATAATATATCTACTCTTTTTTAAAATATCGATACGATTTACAGAATGACCTTTTTTACTGTCTGAAAAAAATAGTGTGTAACAAGTGAACGGAGTAGAAGCCTATGGCACTGATATTTTACAAAAAATAAAAACGAACATTTGTAATTTAATAAATAAATTAATTAAAATCTATCAAAATTCAAATCATATCTACCCTACTTTATGAACGGCAGTAAAACAATAAACTTAGTAGGCATCTTTGACATTGTTACTTCGCAGGGTCACAGACTTAAGGGCAAAGGACAAAGTAAGTGTTCAAAAAATTTTTTCAAACGTTTAATACAAAACTTTTGTTTTTATTTTTTGTAAAAATATCAGCGCCATAGAATTCTACTTCCTTCACTTGTTACACCCTATTTTTTTCCAGACGATAAAAAAAGTTCATCCAGTATATTGATAATTTTTTTCAAAAATGGCCGCCGTCACCTAAACTCCGTCTGGAAGACAAGTGGCTACTGCAATCCATAGGCATCAGCTACCAACAATGGCGGTTACATATCCCTTAACACCTGATGAAATAACTTAAATCCTATAATTACACTGGCTCTTTAATTAAACCGGAGCACAATAGCGAGTACACTGCTATTTTTGGCGCAAGTATGCTGTTACAAATCTGACGGTTCGATAGCGCAGTAGCTTTAGCTACGTCGCTGCGGGTTCTGGGTTCAAATCTAATAAGAAACAAATATTTGATTGGCCTAAGAGTAATGGCGTCGGATCTTAACGTTTGTCCTATGGAGTGTAGAAGTAAGGAGTCACATAGTAGAATAGTTGAAAAAGTGGTCATCTGTAAGCAGTAAATAACAGTTCAAAAACTATCCACAACAGCGCTGGAGTAGCTACTGGGATGAAATGAACTTAGTAGTTGTCGCCGGTTTAAGTGTGCTAAACTGATCAGTAGCTCTAAAATCTAAAATAATTTTATTTAGTAAATATAACCTCGAATAAGTCGTCTATCCAACTAATATTTTTCGGTGTGTTCTTTAAAATTTACCCCGTAGCTATAGTGGCGCCACCCTTATTTAACGGATTTCTATGGACACTTTAATACACAGTCTGTATAAAAGAAGCTCTACTGTCTAGTTCAAAGTTATAACTTGTACCTGTTATTATTGGAGTTACTTGGGTCCACTCCTGATGGAATAGGTATAGAGGACGAGGCGGGCATGGGCCGCGTGCCCTTGGCTGGATTTGAGAAACTTGTTTGCTGTTCGTTCTGAAAAATCATACGTCGCAGTGTTAGATAAAAGATAAAGTATTAAACAATATACATCTATATATATATATATATATATATATATATATATATGTATCAATTGCTGTCCGTTCGTCTCGGTAAAACTCGGAAAATAGCTCGATATTGATGACATTTTTTGTGTGTGCGTGGTTCCCTGGTTGGTTTAAACCCGGTTGGTGTCGCTGTTGTCAAGATCCAGAAATCACTCGTACGAAGACGAGGCGGATAGTTAGTCGTAGATACATTTATCATCTTCATATTAGTAGTATAGTTGAAGCACGAATGGGTCGGCTCAACTGGGGAATGACCACGCTCTCACAGAAACCAGCTTCGCTCGCGTGGGCTTGACAACACATCAGTTACTTTATCAGAATCACATAATTATCATACGTCAAGCAACACTTTTTTATATCAGGCACGTTTTCCAATGTATCTTTATTTACGGAAAATTGTCCTGGAATCGAAAATGCCTTATTTGAACAATATTCATTATTAAAGTTGATATAGTCTTGATAAAATAAGGTTTTGGTCTTTATTTATATTGGTCCCATTGAATATTGATTAGCACCACATACCAGTATTACGTTCAAGTAGACTTCAAAATTTCGTAAATGTAGTTCTATCCACGGAGAACGTGTGAGAAGAACTAAATTCACGAACAGGAGTAGAAATATTGATTAGCACCACATGCCAGTATTACGTTCGAGTAGACTTCAAAATTTTATAAATGTTGTTCTATTCACGGAGAACGTGTGAGAAGAACTAAATTCACGAACAGGAGTAGAAATATTGATTAGCACCACATGCCAGTATTACGTTCGAGTAGACTTCAAAATTTCATAAATGTAGTTCTATTCACGGAGAACGTGTGAGAAGAACTAAATTCACGAACAGGAGTAGAAATATTGATTAGCACCACATGCCAGTATTGCGTTCAAGTAGACTTCAAAATTTCGTAAATGTAGTTCTATTCACGGAGAACGTGTGAGAAGAACTAAATTCACGAACAGGAGTAGAAATATTGATTAGCACCACATGCCAGTATTACGTTCGAGTAGACTTCAAAATTTCATAAATGTAGTTCTATTCACGGAGAACGAGAGAGAAGAACTAAATTCACGAACAGGAGTAGAAATATTGATTAGCACCACATGCCACTATTACGTTCGAGTAGACTTCAAAATTTCGTAAATGTAGTTCTATTCACGGAGAACGTGTGAGAAGAACTAAATTCATGAACAGGGGTAGAAATATTGATCAGCACCACATGCCAGTATTACGTTCGAGTAGACTTCAAAATTTCATAAATGTAGTTCTATTCACGGAGAACGAGAGAGAAGAACTAAATTCATGAACAGGAGTAGGAATCTTTACATAAGATGGGCAATTTTTACATAAGATGGGTAGCAGTGTCTGTAAAAATATACAGTTGGCAACCCGCATGCCAAGCGTAGCTGGCTGCTATGGCAAATATCCAACTTTATTAACTATTGGAAATCCAATTGATGAGCGGAAGTAGTAGTAATATATTAGCCATGTAGAGGTGGCCAAAAAGAAACCATTTCCCCTTTTTCATCCCGTGGGTGTCTTAAGAGGCGACAGAGGGAAACTGAAACACGAGATGGGTAGTATCTTCTTGATGAGAACTCAAAGTAATGAAGAGCTGCGGTTGCCAACCCGCTTGCCAAGCGTGAACACTACTGCAAATACCCGGTCCATTTGTCATACAATGGGGGAAGCCTATGATCAGCAGCGGAAAGCCCTATTAAAAGTAAAAAGTAGCAGCTTCAATACGGGATCTCTTATAATATACTACTGGTCACAGGCCACTGCCATTTTTACGTCAAAAAGTAGTTGATTAACTTGAATCCAACGCTGGATGAGCGACTTCACATAGCTGATCTGTAAAAATGATTTCCGAAATATTTTTTTACATCTCAGATATGCAGATTTCCTACGATGTTTTGCCTCACCGCCGAGAACGTTTTAAATCGAAACTTCAAATTGCAGTTAAATATGAGTGGAGTCGGCGCGGATCTACGAGGGTGGATTGAAAAGTACTCGGCCTAACACTGATCCATTCAATTCTAAAAATCAAATCCACCCATATTATTTAGTTCAGTTCAGACTAGTTCATTGTGTGAAATTCGAAACGTGTGCGATAATTAATTGTGATTTTATAAATTTATTAACAAAGTAATCGGACATAATTTCCGCGAATGGAGCAAATCGAGCAGCGTGCCGTCATTAAGTACCTCCATAAGAAGGGGCTATCATCAAAAGCCATCCATGATGACATGGTCAGTACATTAGGCGATTGTGCTCTGTCATATTCATCCATCAAAAAATGGATAGCAGAATTTAAGCGTGGTAGAGAGAGTGTGAAAGATGAACCCCGCTCTGGAAGGCCTGCGACGTCAACTACTGACGAAAATATTAAAAAAGTACTTGATTTAATAATGGGAGACCGCAGATTAAAAATTAGAGAGATAGCCGAGATTATAGGCATCTCTTATGAACGAACGAATTAAATTTTCTTTTAAATATTTTTTTAAATGCAAACCCTAAATATCTAAAAGGAATAAATATTCCCTTTAAATATTTTTTGAAATCGAAACAACAAAACCAATTCAAGACACAACACGAATCCGAAAACGATAGCCAAAAAAAATCGAATCAACTTAAACCATATCATAAAACAAATCGCAGAAAACCGAAATCGAAAGCAGTAGTCAATATATAAAATAATATAATAATAACCAACGAAAAAAGAAGTAAGTGTATAGGTACCGTATACACTATCTACACTATTAATATTCCTTTGAAATATTGTTAAACAACCTAAAACAACGAAAACCATTTCACGATTCTAAATAAACAAAATCCAAAATCAAAGCCAGAGTCTAAATATGTATAAAGGAATACCAACCAAATCAACAAAACCGATCCAAGAAAATACACAAATCCGAAAACGAAAGCCAATATAAATCCATTCAACCAAATCATAAAGCAAATAACAAACAACCTAAATCGAAAGCAGGTAGTCGAATAAGCTACGAAATAGAAACAATTTAAGCGTATAGGTACCGTATACACTATAAGTTGACGCGCGGCTCAACGGCGGGAGTTAAGTATATGTGTCAGGAAACATTTCGTTACCGCCTTTTAAAACCTAGTAACGACATCTAGCGGAATAAATTTAAACTATGTATACGTTAGTTAATAAGAACTCTCAAAAAATATTTTTCTTATAATTTTGCACAATTTTTCTTATTGTAATACCGATTCATTCATAACCACATATAAGAACTGTATTCATTTCCGTTCAATAAATATTACTAAAGCTTATTAATAAGGCTTACTAAGAACTGTTTCTACCACAGTTAAGTAATAGTTAAGGGTGAAAGCGTGACAGGTGGTGATAGTATTTCTGATCCATACTTATAATCACGCCTGTAACCCTTGCGGGGAAGGCAGAGCATCAACGGATTACTTAATATCGTCTGCGAGGTTACCGCCTATTCTGTGAATTACAATGCACCAAAACGTTTGAAGAAAATCAGCTGGTGTATTTTACGTTTTTTATCGCTCTCTTCCCGGTCCTGCGTGGAAAAATACAGATCCATACATTTTTATCTTAATTTTGGTAAAAAGACATAATAATCCAGATATTCTGACCTTCTGTGTTCGTCCATCGTACTGTCGTCCGTCTTGTAGAATCACGGTGGTGCCACCTAGCTGAATTTAATTTTGCAACATATTTGATTTTCCCATGGGAATGATATGTTTTTCCGCAGAAAATAGCCTATGTCACTCTACAGCCACCGAACTATCCCCATACCAAAATTCATGCCATGCCGACGCTCTGTTGCGACGTGAAAGAAGGACAAACTTTTGCAACATATTCTATTTTCCCACGGGAATGAGATGTTTTTCCGCGGTAAAAAGTAACCTACGTCACTCTACAGCCACCGAACTATCCCCGTACAAAAAAGGTAAAGAAGGACAAACAAACAAACAAACACACTTTCTACTACTAAATCTGTTTGTAGTTTTTGCGTGAATCTTAAATACACAGACACAGACAAAAATTCTAAAAACTACTAATTTGGCTTTAATACCCTTTGTTCAGCACCCTGGACTTGTTTTTCCAAAAAATATTAGAATTACAGACACGACTTATCTACAGATTTATTATATGTATAGATTATTTCAGCTCACAATATCCTTAGACGGGATTTGACCACACTGTTGCTTATACAAAATTCTTAATATTATCATCCAGTAAATCCATGGATGTGGAATGGATACTTACAGATCTCGGTCTAGGGTTCTTTCTGATGCCCCTTCTCGCACGCGCCTTCGCCGCGTAGTATATCCTGATGTAGACGAACACCATGATGCAGGACGGTATATAAAAGCTGCCTAGAGCCGAGTAAATCACGTAGCCGATGTCATCCGACACCTGACAACAAACAAAAAGAAATGTCAATATGGCCGTTTGGATCTCTCGATCGTTCGTCGTTATTAAGCATTTTTTGTGCTCGTGCGATGACTTGCAAGCTTCAATTAGGCCCATGGAGGTTAGAGAGAAGGAGAACGATCGCTGTACAAAACAGTGTCCCAGAGATATGGATAAAATAAGTGAGGCGCTGCGATCGCTAAGTTGTCTCAATAAACGCGGGCTGTTGTGCGCTAGTTTGAAATGATCTATCAACGTTTAATATACGTGTATATAATATCATTCAACGAAACAAAAAGAAAATAACGAAATTATAATTATTATTTATTAATAAATAAATTATAAGAATTATTTTTATAATTTTAATTTTTATAAATATTATAAATTATTACAAACATAAATTAATAATTATAGTCAGGGGGGTTTTCATGCTGGTCTACCTTTCCGGTGATCCTGTTATGGAATACGGGTACGCGACCCCGGCTCCCCGAGCTACTGTTATTCTCATACCTTTCCTGCCGAGATAACAGTATCCTTACACCTGCGCTCCTACCCCCAACCTTCTTTTTCCTTTTCCCAAAATGGTAGCTTCCTCTACCAACAATAGCATACCCAAAGAGGGTTGGTGTCAGGCAGGCGGCCGACTGTAAAACTTTTGCCAAATCCCATGCAGTAAACCTATGAATATTACGAGTTGTGGGATATATGACAGGGCTAGGGCGTACCCCGCAGGCGACGCGCAGGGGCAGCACCCGGCTCCTGTGGGAAGTGGGCAAGGGTTGTCGCGCGGAACCTTACGGAGCGGGTGCGACGTAAGAGGCGAGCCCGGAGAGAGAAGAATGTCAGAGTGAGGTTTGCAAGCTGGAATGTAGGTACGATGACTGGAAGACGAAGAGAGTTAGCAGATGTTTTGAAACGACGAAGAGTGAATGTTGCCTGTTTGCAGGAAACAAAATGGAAGGGCAATAAAGCAAGAGAGATTGGGGAAGGATACAAGTTTTATTATTGTGGAAGTGATGGGAAGCGAAATGGAGTAGGAGTTGTGTTAGATAGTGGAATGAAAGAACGAGTGACAGATGTGAAAAGAGTAAATGACAGAATGATAGTTGTTAAATTAATGATTGAAAACAAAGTAGTGAATGTTGTAAGTGTGTATGCTCCGCAAACAGGCTGTGAAGAGAGTGTGAAAGAGAAGTTTTGGGAGGAATTTGATTGTATGATGATGGGAATACCTGAGAGTGACGATGTTTATATGGGAGGAGATTTTAATGGACATGTAGGGAGAGTGAATGACGGGTATGAAAGAGTACACGGTGGATGGGGGTACGGAGTGCGGAACCGTGAGGGGGAAGTTCTTCTGCAAGCAGCATGTGCTTTCGACCTGGCTGTAGTAAACACGTGGTTCCAAAAACGAGATCAGCATCTTGTTACTTATAAAAGTGGCCACCACGCGACACAGATCGACTATCTTCTGATAAGACGGAACCAAATCAAGAGTGTAAAAAACTGCAAAGTGCTTCCAGGTGAAGACTTAGTATCCCAGCACCGAATTCTGCTGGCTGACATCTGCTTAACTGTTCGCCTCAACAAACATAAGGATCGTCCCCCACCCAAAATAAAGTGGCATTTGTTGCATAAGGAGGAGTATGCAAGTGAATTTAGAGAGCTAGTTGTAAACAAGATGATAGAGATGGGTGATATGGAAGGAATGAGTGTGAATGAGTGCTGGAAGGAAATGGCTGATTGTATCCGAAGTGTGGCAAGGAAGGTGTTAGGAGAAACAAAAGGGAAGCGTATGATAGATAAGGATGGGTGGTGGTGGAGTGAAAGTATTAGAGAAGTTTTGAGAGAAAAGAAAAATGCCTTTAAAGAATGGCAGAGCGTAGAAGACCAGAATGATTCCATAAAAGAAAGTAAGCGAGGGGCGTATAAAGAATGTAAGAAGAGAGCAAAGAAGGAAGTTGCTATTTGTAGGGCAGAGGCGCAAGATAAATTATATCGGTCCCTTGAAAGCCCCGAAGGTCAAAAACGACTTTTTCAAATTGCAAAAGCGAGAGAAAGGAATGGAAGAGATGTTTCACATGTAAAATGTATAAAAGATGATTCTGGAAGGATTTTGACTGACGATGAAAGTATAAAGAAGCGATGGAAGGAGTATTTTGAGAAATTGATGAATGAGGAGAATGAATGGAATGGTATGCTTGAAAACCCACCAGTGAATATGGGCTTAGTGAGAGAAATTAGTGTGGAAGAAGTAAAAATGGCTGTTAGGAATATGAAGAATGGGAAGGCGGTCGGCCCAGATGGAATACCAGTAGAAGTGTGGAAGTTGCTGAGTGCGGATGGATGGAAGTGGTTGAGTTTATTTTTCGGTAAATTGTTGCAGGAAGAACAAATACCTGAGGAATGGTGCAGTAGTATACTGGTCCCCATTTTTAAAAACAAAGGAGACGTTCAAAACTGCAGCAGTTACCGGGGAATAAAACTCATGTCACATACGATGAAAGTCTGGGAAAGAATAATAGAGAAAAGAATGAGAGAAGAGTGTGAGATAACACAAAACCAGTTCGGATTCATGCCCGGTCGAGGTACGACAGATGCCATTTTCGCATTACGCCAATTGTGCGAAAAGTACAAGCGCGTGCATAAAAATCTGCACATGGTTTTTGTCGACCTTGAAAAGGCGTACGATCGGGTTCCCCGTGAGGTTTTGTGGTGGGCGTTAAAGATGAAAGGTATGCCTGGGAAGTATGTGAGGTTAGTCCGTGCTATGTACAGAGCATCCCGTACATGTGTACGATCTGCCGCGGGAACTACGGGCAGTATCGATGTGGCGGTAGGGCTGCACCAAGGGTCGGCATTGAGCCCTTACCTCTTCCTATTGATTATGGCCGCTTTGACGTCGGACCTGCAGGATGAGGCACCCTGGTGCATGCTCTTTGCCGATGATATCGTGCTTGTCGGGGAAGAAGGCATCGAGGTACAGAGCAGACTGACGGGGTGGCAACAGAGGCTGGAAAGTGTTGGCTTGAAGATCAGCAGATCCAAAACCGAATATCTGTGCTGTGATTTCGGCGGTCTTTCCAGTCCTGTACCCATGTCGTTGGATGGCGCTATACTGCCTACCTGCTCAGAATTCAAGTACCTCGGTTCCCTCATTAAAGGCGACGGCGGAATAGATAGAGCTGTGCAGCATAGGATTAAGGCAGGGTGGATGAAATGGCGACAGGTCACAGCCACAACGTGCGATCCCCGAATGCCAATAAGGCTGAAGGGGAAAATTTACAAATCGATCATCCGACCTGTCGTCATTTATGGAAGTGAATGCTGGGCCGTCAAGAAGAAGGATGAAAATAGACTGCATGCGAATGAAATGAGAATGTTACGATGGATGTGTGGTGTGACAAGGATGGATAAGATAAGGAATGAGTATATAAGAGGAAGCCTGAAAGTAGCGCCAGTGGTAGAAAAGGTGAGAGGAAGCAGATTGGCATGGTTTGGGCATGTGATGCGGAGGGATGAAAGTCATGTCACAAAACGAGTGTTGAATATGAATGTGGAGGGACACACGGGCAGAGGAAGGCCGAATAAAAGATGGATCGATTGTGTGAAGAGTGATATGAGCATGAAAGGAGTAAGTATGGAAATGACGGCTGATAGAGAGGAATGGAACAAGAAGATTTACTGCGCCGACCCCAGATAATGGGAAATGGTCTAGAGAATGATGATGAATGATGATGATAAATTAATAATTATTATTGATTTATTATTATTGTTATTTATAATATTTCACCATTTTTTAATGTTTCTTTTTGTCAAAATTAAAAAATTACGGAGCACGATTATTTTCTCAACAATGCCCCGAAGAAAATTTGTACATTATTCAACTACTTCATCTTCTTGTACTCATAAACAGCTAATCGCAGATACTACTTACCGACGGCAGCGCGACAGGCGGGCTAATGCTTTAGCACGTAGAGATCTATCGTTCTCCTTCTCTCTAACCTCAATGATTAGGGCACTCAAGAAATGTGTGTGTTCAATAACGTTGTGCGGAGAAATCACATCGTTTTCTCATATGATCGTTGCCAATTACGAGGACGCCTTGAGGGACTAGAGAGTGCATATGTACTCGCGCACACACCCGTGCACTATGATCGTGGTGTGTGCAGATGGCTAGTCTACGTTGAGACTGGCTGCCGTGACAGATATTCAGTTGGAAAGACATTATTGTAATATGTTATAAGAAAAGATACGAGTAGTGTGATTTAGGCTTCAGTTGTTGTACAATCTATTTGCGCTATTGTGCCGTAATGACAGTGCCGCCCAATCACCGAGTGAGGTGAAGATGTGACCACAGATCGCAAAAATATGAGTTATTTTCGGTTTTTAAATTTAAGTGACAAATATCTAAATAAATTTTAAGTTTGATTTATTTGTAAAATTACATCAGAAAGCTCAATTCAATGGGTTTTTAATGAAAAACAATAAATGAGTGTTCTCTCCCTCTTTGTCATCCTCAACAGACTTGACAGAGATATAGATATATCACATGGGGATAAGATATTGAGTTTCCAACACGTTATCCTAGAACCTGCCTGTTCACTCTTGTCCTAAAAGATCATTGTGGTAGTGGTCAAGTAATATTTTTTTCAACAGTAAATGTAATGGTTGAGAACACGGGCACGCAACAATCAAACACCCAGATCGAGTTGAGACTGATTTATTCATATTTACCCTCCACTATTAAGTACAATAATCTCTTACATCTCCCTTCTTAATTATAAGAAACAAAATCAAAATATTAATTTACTCTTGCATATTTTTATCACAAAAATAGTGAGATAATTTCACCATTAATAGATTAGCAATAGATGTAGGTATATAATATTATATATATTAAATTAGTTAATTATTAGAGCCGTGGTAGCTCAAAT